ATTATTAGTTTGTCATTGGTGTTATTTTAGCTAATTTCTAATTTAGAATTTAGCCTACACTTTAGCTAGCATTTAGCCTAATTTAGCCACAAAATTAGGCTAATTTTAACAGTGGCATTTGTGTGTTCACAAAAAAAAACATTAAAGTGAGTACTCCTCTGACAACATTTGTCCACCCAAACATACTTTTTTTGTTGTTGCAACTTATATATTAATCTAATGGTTTAGTGTTAATAATTTAGTATTAATAGTTCAATAATTACTACAACTACTTATCATCACTATCATTAGTTTATCATTGCAGTCATGTCAGGTATATTTTAATCTAGTGATCCTTTTTACTGAGACTCTGGTGTGCTCACAATAAAGGCTGACATGCTCCAGCACTCAGTGGGTATTCCCTGGACGGCGTGTAGGTGGACTTCTCGTGTGTACTTATGGAGCGTATGGAGAAAACAACGTTGCCATTAAAGCTGGTAATCACGACATAAGTATGATTCAACAAGAGCATAAAAATACACAAACCAGCCCCTGTCAGCCAATCATGTCAGCTCGGTGACGAACTTCCTGCTCACATTTCTCTCGTAGCTCCCCGTTATTGTGGCGCGTTTTGCTGCCTTTACGGTCCGCAGAAAGGACACACGGCCGGCCGGGGCAGCGAGGAGGCACCATGAGAGGCAAGAGCAGATTATCAGGGTGGACACGGCAGCCACACAGCTAGCGGTGGTCGGAGCCAGATAAGCAGACTTACTACAAATGCTGTTTACTCTGAGTGACGCCTAGCCCAAGGACGTACGAGCGAGGCGAACAAGAGGCGAGACCGAAGGAGGTGCAAAGGGGGGGCTCGGATGGCAGTAGCCAGGGCCAGGGGAAGGGCTGCCGACGACCTGCAGGGACATGGGAGACGTCTGGATATCATGTCCTGACTACAAAAGACTAATTATCCGCCGATAAACTGCAGCGGCACGTCAGAAATAAAGGCCTCAGTGCTCTTTAATCCAACCGGGAAAAAAAAAAAAAAAAACTGACAGGCAGCGACGAGCTACGACCAAAGGGTGAGGTACAGGAGTGAGCAGATAGGGAGGAAAGACAAAAACACACGACTCGGATAAATGTTGAATGTATCGAAGCTAATGTTGCGAAATCGCTGAATTTCCCTTCGCTGCTGCTGCGGAGAATGGCTCAGTGTGAATATCGGCGAGCAGCTGTGATAACGTTTGTTCCAGCCCTTCAGCTTCTCTTCCTCTCTTTTTCTGTTCAACAGGACGCTTTATTCGCAATTGAAGGAATTTATGGGATCACAAGGTAAGCTCTGAGCCCGGACAAGTGTCACTCTGGGGTTTTGCATGCGGCTGTCAGCGGGCTTTCATGTTTTCCGCCTGTGACGGGCTTTAGTTTCCTTTGTTTACAGTCTGAATCTCTGAACAGCTGATACGTCCTCAGCAATGCCGCGATACTGCCTGTTGTGTATTTCTTTGACGTGCTGCGGCCGCTGATGTACAGATATTAGATTTACTTTGACATGCACACTGCAGACAAAACAAGCGATGCTGCTGTTTATTTGCATGTATCTGTGCTGGTATAGAAAAGAAAGTGAAGCCACCACAAGCCAGCAGAAACAAAAACACTCTTGTAGCCATGTCTGAGCAGAAGGTAGCATCACTCCCCATAATGCATTTGTAAATCGCATTATGGGCTAGTGCGTCACCTTCGGGGGACAACTTCTTAAACTGAATTTACATTTAAGTGCATGATGTTTGTTCCAACGCCTTTGTTCAAACACAAGATGACTTTTCTGTTCCTCTTTGTGCAGTTTCCTCTGATGAGATGAGTGTGCGTGCTGGCCAGGGCAGTGATGAGGTGCTGGTTTCACAGGCGGTGTGGGATTACCTGGCTGCAGCTGGGCGGCCCTGGCTCATTGACTTCCAGCACAAGCAGGGGATGAGCGCTGGCATCATTAGGCGAGGAGAGAGGGGGGGCTGCTGTGCCGTGCGGCTGCAGCCGGTGGAGGGCTCCAGGAGCGCTGGAGCTGGGATGATGGATGGACCCATCTCCAGTGAGACACGAAAAGCCTTCATTGACTTATGCCGCTGTGCCCGCAAAGAAATGAGCAAACAGGAGGGGGGATCCAAGAGGAAGAGGGCTCTGCTGCCCTGTGTGGGAGTCCTGGAACCCAACGGCGAGGGGAGCCTGCTTCAGCCTCCACCTCCCCAGCCTCGGCGCTCCCAAAGACAGCAGCAGAGGTTCAGGAAACCTGCTGACGAGGAGGCCTGCGCCATGCTCCACGAGGTGGCCCACAGGAAGGACATGGACTCCAGCATGGCTTCCCACAGTGAGGCAGAGGACAATAATACTTGTTCAATCTGCATGGGGGACATAGTGGAGAAGACTACCTTGGAGAAATGTGGCCATTCGTTCTGTCGCTCTTGCCTGGATCAAGCCTTTAAGGTGAAGAAAGCGTGTCCTGTGTGTCGGCTAGTGTATGGCCAGCTGATTGGGAATCAGCCGGCCAATGGTTCAATGATCGTAGAGAGAGATCCTGATCTGGAGCTTCCAGGCCATGAAGGCTATGGGTGTATCTGCATCATCTACAGCTTCCCTCCCGGGCTACAGGCGGTGAGTAGACGGAGATCATGGTGCAGATGTAGACCGTAGCTGCACCTCAGTGGGAATACACAGTTGGCATAAAATCAACTTTTTTTAGGTTATGTATGTAGGTATTACTATGGACACGATCACAGTGTTTTAAACAATCCTGTCACTCCACTTGACCTTGTACATCTTCCTCTCTTTCCCTGAATGACATCTAGTTGGTCAGTTATCTTTCATCTTGCCCTTGTGTTACATCATACTCCCTAATTTCAAGCTTCTAGAGAGAAATGCATCCAATTAACTGTGCAACTTCAGATGTAATTGTAAACAGGCTTTCCTCTAAAAATCAAAACAAGATCTCAACCTGCTTTTTTGACCGTAATGGTCTTTCAATGCATCGACAAATGTTAGATAATTCTAGCAACTGAAGTTATTGCTATTCAGTGCTGACAAAGGTGTCACTGTAGCATTCATTTTTGTAAAAGAGTACCAGTAAAACAGGCCTGCATTTGCAAATCTGAGGTGGTAAACATAAAATGTGTCTGTTATTTAGTACTATAACAAACTCCTGATTCAGTGAATAGAGTTCAATTTTTTTTGAGAGCTCAGTCGCTGCTAACCAGCTAGCCCTGAGCTGTTTTGTCCCGCTTCTTGTTTTCCTACCCGCTGGCTGGGCATGTCACTGTTGTGGTGGCACCAGAAGTCCGTCAGCTGCTGCTCCAGTGAGCCTGTTGTCCTGCAGATGGACTCCACCGTCTTGGACCCCTGCTGATGATGGTACTTTCATCAGAGGTCTTTATGGCGTCCTTGTTCTGCTCTGCAGCCACAATAAACTTGGCATAGCGGCACATGAGCCAGGTCTCCGCATGCTACAGGTTCTGGTTGTAGTGGCCCTCAGGTTGCAGCAGAGGCCAGAATCAGGACTGTCGTTGCCGGCCGCAGTCCAAGAAGGTGGAGCCAGATCTTTTTGTAGGATGAGAGACTCGTTGTAGAGGTAGCTGAATGACACCGACTACCAACAGGATGACAATGTAGTCAGCCTGCAGGTGAGGAAGCATGAGCTGTCACGGGCCAGGATTAGCAGCGACTGGACTTTTAAAAAAAAAAAAAAAAAGACATACAGCAACTTTAAATTAGGATTAGGATTGCAACTTTAATGACATTTTCTCAATCATTTAAATAATGAAGGATCTTAGATTTTCTTTAACAAAACAAATATTCTAAGGACTCTGCCTGAAAAAAGAAAAGGTCTTTCCAAACCTGCTGATGTGAGCTTGTATGCAGAATTTCTGTTATAAAGGCCAGTTTATGGTTTTCATATCCAGATGATCACAGACTTTAAAAGGCAGACATAGACATCATTCCATTTATACTGCAAAGGTAGGTCTACTACTGCGTGTCATCACCTCTCAGACTGAAAGCAAAAAAACACACCGGGCTCCTGTGGATGTTTCTAAAAGTCTGGCTGTGGCTTTGCGCTGTTTAAAGGATACAGCCTCTACTTACACACTGGGCTGTAGTACTGTGTCAGTGAATATTCTTTAGGTATGCCAAGCACTGAGGAATAGCCTGCAGCCAGAGTTTGTTGCCTTCCAGTTTTAAGCACAGTGAGTGAACACAAGATTCCTGGAGAATCTGGAACTTCCCACAGCGTCGAGATGCCATCAATAAAAAGCATGTACAAATCAAAGCACCTTCTAAGTGTGGCAGCAACTACTTAAATTACAACTCTTTTATTGATGAATCACGAAGGTGTGGATAATGGCAAAGCTCCTTGCATAGCCCCTCCTTACAACTGGCATCACTGGGTTGTCCTTGCGTAAAGTTCACACGGCCACAAATTTCAGGCTGCAGGCTGACATCCACAGAGGAGCTTGCACAGACCTTCACAGACTTGTGCTGATGCAGTTTATGTCATGAGGATCCTTGTGCAGACGCAGAAAGCACAACTTGTCCCTGACTGTGTAGTCTGAGTCCAAGCCGAGATACCATCTGAAGACACCGATGCCGGTTTTGCCCCACAGACTTGCGAAACCTCCTCCCCACAGAAGACAATTTAAATAGTCATTACTGAGTCACAATTCCCCTGACAAATAAACTGACCTTTCCGAGTAAAATGAGTCAAGTTCCCTTTTATAGAAAATAGACAGCGAGCAGGTATGAATGCCCCATACGTGCCATATCTGTTCCTAACCTCAAGGTTCAAGGTGGTTCATTATCCTCTGAATTTTGCATTGGATTGATAGAATTGCTGTACAGTGATACATGACAAATCACAACAACACACCTGCAAATATGCTGCTCACAAAAAAATCCACCAAATGCACTGAAAAATAAAAGACGTGGCAACATGATCATTGCAGTCACATAGATCCTAACAGGTAAACAGACAGAACAGTTTAAAGCCTCATAGACTGACTCTGTTTTCACTCCTGTGTTACCAACAGCCAGAACATCCCAACCCGGGTGTTCGGTACCCAGGAACAGACCGTGTGGCCTACCTCCCTGACAGCCCTGAGGGTAACCGCGTGCTGGGCCTGCTGCGTCGGGCCTTTGAACAGCGCCTTATTTTCACCATCGGTACCTCCATGACCACGGGCATGCAAAACGTCATCACCTGGAATGACATTCACCACAAGACCTCAATATGGGGCGGGCCACGCTGGTATGTATCGGCTCTTAAATAGAGGTAAAAGGCAAGAAATGAGATTTTATAGCGCTCTGAACAACTCTGCTAAAAGGTGTGGAAGCTGAGCAAAGGACTCGGTAAAGATTGACAGATCTAATCCGTGTTCCTGACAAGGAAATGCTATCAGTTGATGTCCTTGGATGAATGGCACTTTTTACTGCCTGAGATCATACAGGTGCAGTGATGGCTTTTTATGTCTCTTTACAGTTTTGGCTATCCAGACCCCACTTACTTGGTGCGAGTGACAGAGGAGCTCAGAGAAAAAGGCATCACAGCAGACTGACAGCATGAAAACGACAGATTCTTCCTGGACTTTGTAAGACTTTTCGAGTGTCCTTGCAGTGGACATGACTCAGCTCCAGGTTGTGCTCTGAGACTGCCCGTCCCTTAAAAGATGGCTGAAGACAAAGACCTCAGCAGACAGGCGTCAAATGCTGCAGCAGAGCCCATATCACTCCACTAGTTGTTCCTCTGTTTGTTCATTTTCCTCCAGATTTCAACTTATCCCAGTGCTACATGTGGAAGAAAATACTTTGAGTGCAGTGCATTCTTGTATTACACAATCCTATTACTGTCACTGCTGGCAATAGGACGGATATGTGATGCACTTATTTAAGAGCATTGTTGGAATTCATGGTACTTATATATTATTTAGGAAATCTAAGTTTAATGTTATGAAGACAGTTTGTGTTATATTGTTTATTTCTACTCTGGGGTTACTTTATTTCTTACAAGCATACATCCTTGGTTGTGTCCAGTAATATTTGTTGAGCTAGTCTCTGATTTGATTGTTACTAATTACCTGTTGTAAGGATAGTACTTGGATCATATGGCAGAATAGCACTGCTTCTATAAACAGAATTAATTTTCTGGAGTTATTGCAATCTAAAGCACTCACAGGCACTTTGGTAAGGGAGTCTGTTTTTCAGTAAAGTATGAGTAATGGTTTTGGCTTCCTCTCTGTGAAGAGTGCTCGGGGCAAACAGGTTTGTGCAGCCATCAGCTATTAGCTTAGTGGCTACAAGTTGATGTCAATTGCTTAGAACTCTTCTTGTGTGTGACCGTCACCTCTCCGCCCTATTTTTACTTATAAAGGAAGAATGTCAAATGATGTCTCATTGCAGCACCTTTTAAACATGCATTAGGACTTCCCACTGGGTTTTTCCATTGGTCACTCCTGTTATTTCAAGATGTCTCCCAGGTGTTGAGCCCATTACCTCAGTTGTTAGTAATGTGCTCCTCTGATTACCAGATTTATGACGATGTCAAATACGAAGGGCATATAGACCACTTAAACCAAATCGAAGGCACAAAAGCTCTTTAAATATCTATGCCTCTGTCCCTGTCAAACTGGGAGATTTGCCTGCTAATCTTCTCATTTAAAATGAGGTAATTGTTGTAAATTTGTTTATCTAAATAGATAATCCACGATACAGAGCGAGGAAAAATAACAAAAGAAAACGTTGCGGGAACAATAGATCTGATTTAGGGTGGGATACTGATCTCATTTTGTTGTGCCTTTCTTATATTCACTTTTGATAAAAATCAAGCATGATGTTTCTGATGAATGGTTAGCAGTTTGGGCGTATTTTGGTGTTATTTGATAGGTAAACAGCATTATGTTTGTAGCTATACTATCTGGCTTTTAGTACAAATACTACACAGTTTATGAAAATATGTATACTGATGTGTTATTAAATTAGCCTCTCCTTCATAAACATTCTTGTAGTCCAAATGCTGAAAATAAAAAATAAAAAAACAACCCTCAGAACTGATAAATCCATATGTGTGAAAGTGCTTTGCTAAGTGCAGTAACCTGCTTGGCTAGTGAACAATATATCAGTAATTTGACTGGTCAGATCCATACATCAAATGCTTTTATTATGTTTTCATCACCTTTGTATTTTAGTTAAGGGACCAACTGAAATATTTTTGGGACACAGGATTGTAGTTTACTAAAGCTACTGTGCAAACATTTCTATGCATTACATGACTGAGGAGGAGCCAGGAGAGTGGACAGTTGGAGAGATTACACATATTACAAATTGATTGTTAAGGAAACCTTTGAGTTTTGCTTTTCTAATTGTGTTGATTCGTACTTTGTTGATATTCAGAATAATGTGCTTTACATTTTAATACTTGAATAAAAAATTATGTTTGAGTTTGTGTTGGATATTCAATGTTGCCCTAAATAAACAAGGAGCATCACTGACAACTGA